ATTATCAAGCCGGGTGTCATCTCTTTGCACTCTTCATGTTAGTTGATAACAAACATCTCGTATCTAATATGTCGCGGACTCGTCTCCAACTAATATAGTTGCTGGTGATGTATCCACTCTTATATATTAATGAGCTCCTAATAATGATCTACTCATTCCCTCAGTATGTTCATTGTGTCACTCCATGTTAAGGTATGTTTGTATCTGTCTGTCCGTCACTCAAGTTATTCTATTAACTAACTACAAGTTGTGAAGTTCGATCAGTGAGCACACATTGTTCTACAGTGATAAGCGAGAAAGTTTAAGGGATACAATTAATAATAGATTATAATAGATTATAATAATGACGAGTTTGTATGTCAGTATATTTGTATTTATATACTAGGTTCTGTTGCGGTCTATCTTTGAGTATATTACGTTTAGTATTTATAAAAATTAATCAAATAATAAACGAGTAACGATTGCATACATTCTTGGGCCAAAATTTAAAGGAATTAAAATATATATATATATATATATATATATATATAGTTTTTTAATAAATATATAAATTATTAAAAAATCTGTTAATTTGTGAAAATAAAGTTAGGTCCCTGATTAAAATCTGACTTTTACCTTCAAACTGGTATAATAATTAAGGTTGTTGTAAAAGGAGTCATCCAAGTTAATTGCTAAGAAAAATACAATATAATAAACTAAAGTTAAATGTTAAGAATCGATAAGTTTCAGTAGTAGTAAGTTGTGATGTAGTTTTTTTAGTGACGTAACTATATAAAAACTATAATAATAGGGTTTTATATATTGATTTACTAACTGTTCTTTAACTAATTTAATAACTCTCATTAAATACTATTCAAGTATATCTGTAATTTATACAACGACTCTTAGTTAACCAGCTAATCCAAGCTTTTTTTTTGTAACAGTGCAATCGTCTAATGAAATAATTAAAATCATGAAAATAATCTTATTTCATTTTTCAGCTTCCAGTTTTCTAATTTCTGATACTTTACTGCAGAAGATATATCAATTTTTTACCCATATTTTTATAAACAAGTATTCTCGTTTGTATATTTATAAAAGGTCACATTTTAAAGGAGTAAAGCGAAACGTTTTACTACGGAATGAAACTTAAATGTTAAACTATTTATATCCTGTCCAATCTATTATATTAACTATATATCTTAAATAATATCAGTAATATTTATTTATAACCACTAGTATCAAATATATTTCGTAGTATTTCAATGTTTCAGTTATAACATGATCCCTGGTATTTCTCCTGTATCGACACAGAGGAATGTTATGTGTTTCAATATTTCAATATTTCAATATGTAGGACCCAGCCACTCGTGACACACACAACGACCCGATGTCACTCATAAACAAACGTCAAAAGATGAACTGAAACACACGTTATATACCTACTGGGTATATATACATAATATATGTATAACACATATATAGGACACTCTGTAATTCAGTTGTTTTAATTGGTTTACTATTGAAAGAGTTATATTTTTTAACAATCATCTAATAATAGTCTTTATTGTGTTGTAATAAGGTCGACGGAGTTGTGTTCGTGTGTTCAATATCAAAGATTCGTCCCAAACGTTGTCTTCAACGTAATTACTTTTCTACTTTCGTTTCTTGATTCAACTCCCATTGATTTGAATGCACGCCCTCAGACATCGATACACACACACACAAACACACACAGACAGCAGGAGACGGGGGACGAAACAGTAGTAGATAAATACAGATATAAATAAAAGTTTCTTAATTTGTAGTTAACTATTAAATTTGGAAATATAAATTGGAAAAATAAAAGTTCGTCGACTTGACAAGCTCTGAACTCTGATTCTGTAAATACCGTTTGTAATAGAGGCTAGCTGTAGTGAAGTTATACAGCTCGAACATGTGTTGTCTCGACCGGGGAAGTACCACCCTCTCACAGAAGATCGGCGTGAAGTAGTCTTTAATAGCTGCGTTTCGTTCGATGAATGAACCAGTAGCCCGTATCATGTTCCCACCCTTTCCTATCATTTTCTTATTCCAAACCCTCCATTTTCTCTCAACAAGCAAGGTAACGGCAAGCATTTAAGATGTTGCAGAAGTCCATGGTCGACTGTGACTACTGCAAATCAAGTAGACCGTCTGCTCGTTAGCCTCCCTTCACATAAAAAAAACACCGTCAAGTCGCTTTACCAACTAAGCTATCGCTCCACTGACTCGCTGACTGACTCACTGAATTACAATATTAATGTTGGGATGGCGGTGGTAAGTTAGGTAATAGGTTTTATATATATTTTTATTATATCAAATATTATCTAAACTTTGTATATCTGTTAAAAACATAGTTATACGTATTACTCTATAACCCCTTCGTTTGAAAATTTGATGAAAATCATAATACATATGATGATTATTGTTATTCAATATTTTCTTTTAAATTACCTTTTAATTTTATAAATTACATTTGAAAAGTATAAAATACAATTATCCAACTATAATAAATTTTAAGTATTGATTATTCTTCTTTCTGGTAATTTCCCAGGTTTAGCCAGGGTCTGCCTTACATGTTGTGAATAGTGTTGGCAAATTGTTTTTACGAACGGCCGCCTGCCTGACATAAACCCTCTTTGGGAATGCATTAATCAGTGATGTCTAAATACTCTTATAAAGTACATATGACTCGGAAAAATCACATTGGTACTTGTCAGGGCCAGGAAAGAACCCGCGCCCTCGTGCATGAGAGGTGGGCCTTTTAGCCACTAGGACACCACTGACTGTATTGCTGAAGTATTGATTATTATTATTAAGGTATAAACAGAACAATATATATTCACTCTTGAGTCTAGAGTCTACGGGAACGACAATTCTCTTAAAACATGTCTGTGATGTCACACTACAGTCCTCCATACATTATGTAAGAAGATATATTATTGAATTACTGAAAACTCTCCGCTTGTGGTGTGACGGTGCAAGCTTGTCATACATTAGTATGGACAACACATATATAAATCCCACTCCATATAAACCCTTGTATTCACGGAATAAAATGTACTATTTAAATATTCTCCAATAACATTTATATTACAGTGTAAACTCTATATAACGACACTGAAGGGACCGTGCATTTTAGTGCGTTATAGAGAGTTGCCGTTAAATAGAGGGAAGAAAAATCAGAATTAGAAAAAGACAAAGTTTGTTTCAGACTACTGTTAGTACTTATGTACATAAAAAAGAATGTTATAAAGTCTGTTGTTTTTGTTTGACGTGTTTTGCTGCACCAGTAATGTTGTTGTATTTTTTACGTATTTTATTCATATCTTGCGATATTGAGGCATATTGGTGAAGAACGAATTTCTTAGAAAGTTTGGTATGCATGATTACGACAGTGGAGTTTATTGCGGGCTAGGATAACAAAGCGACAAAAAAACGTACACAGCTGCGCATTTTACTAATTTTAGCAACTTAAAGGGTACTTTTTAATACTTAATTTTGTCGTTATTGAGAGTGGCTGTGACGCTATATAGAGTGTATCATTGTATGGTAGACAAGCTAAACCAACCAAAGTCTAATGATTTCGACGCTTTAGAGAGTTTGTCGTTAAATCGGGTGTCGTTATATGGAGTTTACACTTATTAACGTCTCCTACTTTTTTCACCAAACGAAGGCTCTATTAATTTGTAATACGACGTTTCGCAACTGAAACAAAGCTACACATTATTTTTAAATTCATTTCCTTAAGTTTGGTAAAGTTAATGACGTTTATCAATGAGATCTAAGACTTTCGCGATTATTGATTTAAATGAAACTAATATTTATTCATCATCTTGTCTACCCTTCACGGGTAAAAGATAATAATAAAATACGCGTAGTCCAAAAACATTAGTTTAATTTAGAATTTAGATGTTGTTTATTTTATTTTAATATTAGCGTAGGATCGTTTTCACTTTTCTGTGAAAAGAAATATTTTAAACGTTGTAAAGTGTGCCCCAGTTACCGAGGTCGATCTTAGTACACTAATAGATATAATTCTTCTTCTATTAATAGTCTGTTTTTTAGTGAGCGTCATACGAGCGGCCCGCCTCACTCACAGCTGATTCAGAAAACTTGATATCTGTTATCATTAATATATTATAATGATAAGGTGTCGAACCTTGGACTCCTCGACGTCACAATCAAAATAACATTTGAGCTGTCGTGTACTCATATAAGACTCACTGAATTAAAGATTCATATTTTCTGTACTTTGATATCCTAACAAAATTGTTATCTTTGAAGTTTTCTCACAAGTGGTGACAATCAATTACAAACCTTAACGATCATCAATAAAGATTCAAATTTAATGTCAACATTGACCTCGTGTTAATAAAATACTTCACACAAGACATCGACAGTTATTGTCATACAATATTGATTCCTTTTTATAAATATGTCTTCTTTTTATTATACACATCTCTCCTTCGTATGACGTCTCTAGTAATGTCAATGTTATTCAATATTTTAATGTTTCAATATTTTAATCTTTTTAATATGAATTTTTCATACGAAATAATTTTTTCCTAATTTTAATTTTAGTTAAAACATTTTACTCTTGTTTAAATTTAATTTCTTAATCCAAGCATCAACTTTAACTTTAAGCATTTAATATTACACTCGTAGATACTGTAGGTACACCACAAACAGTCCGTGAGAGTCAGTATATGTTCGTATCATGACATCTTTGTCATGATTCTTCTCAGATCAAAATAATAGTTTTGATAAAATAAAGCTAGCACGGGTTTCCTATTTTTATTTCAGAAAAAGCATTTCTTTTTCATATTATGTCAATGAATATAAACTATTGTTGCTCACAATTTTGGTATCTTGTGTTGGTTATTGATACATCATAAGTTAATAACCATATAATGTATCAGTAGGTATATGATCCGCCTGCCACCCGGCCATCTGTCGCGACCATGTCGCCGTGTAATACAAGATTCCCAAAAATTGTGTCAACGTCTGTAAATAAACTTGAGAAGTGAGCCGATATCAGTATAGACTATCTTCGGTTCGCGGAACTTTAAAATAGAACTCGCACGTTGTGAAGGTAAACAAATGACTTCCTCTTGACCTGGAGTCATTACATCCTCATAACTTCCTCGGACATTACCATACAAGCTGTAACAATACTCTGTCTGTCCATATGAACCGTACTCACGAACACCACTCCACGTCACCTTATTGTCACACTCTACACGCCCCAGTCCGGGAGACCAACTATTAATAGACGCCGCATGGTGCCTCATGAGCTCACTAAGCTGTATTTAAGGAAACGCGCTCTGTGATCCATATTAAACTTTATGACAAATGAACTAGGTTCCTATTCCTATAGCAACTGGCGCCTCCCGATTTCGTTAAAAATAGAAAATGGTTTATACGCGGGAGCTGTGTTGACTATTTATGGTGGTGAACGAGGCGACTGACTCCGGCCGCGTGGGGTTGGACGAAGCTATTTTGGACGAGCAGAGCTACACTAGCATGTACCGACAACATACAGTTGGACATATAGTGAAGATTATTATATTCATATTGCTTTTATTATATGTGATTGACCTAGTTTCCATCAGTCAAATAATTTTGGCACTCGACACCGCTATGATATGTCTAAAAGTAGTCAGAGTGTATTTGTGACGATACAGGGCGTCATATTCGTCATTCAATGATACGGTAACGTTACTAGGGAAGGATGAGGTGGTGGAGTGATGGAGTTTATAATAAGAAACAAAAGTCAATGAATGTATAAAAGAAATCATGTTATTTAATTAAATAAATTAACCGTTTATTTATTAATAACATTTCGGCGTGAGATCCACAACGATCCCATGTATAATAAAAATAAAAAAGAAAAATTAAATTTATATAAATTTTACAATAAATTAATTACATAACGATAGATGGCGTATAATAGATGTTCAGTTCTGTCAGGTATCACTACGTTCAACGTACAAAATGCTTGCGTTCCGAACTCAATACAAGAGAAACACAACACACAGCACTCGCTCACGCTGCGGCAGCTCTGACTGGGGCAGCGCGAGGGTTAACGAGATGCTTAGAAGCACTTGCGGTGGACGATGCCGGGGCCGGACTCGTCGTACTCCTCCTTGGAGATCCACATCTGCTGGAAGGTGGACAGGGAGGCGAGGATGGAGCCGCCGATCCAGACGGAGTACTTCCTCTCGGGGGGAGCGATGATCTTGATCTTGATGGTGGAGGGAGCCAGGGCCGTGATCTCCTTCTGCATGCGGTCGGCGATACCGGGGTACATGGTGGTACCTCCGGACATGACGGTGTTGGCGTACAGGTCCTTACGGATGTCCACGTCGCACTTCATGATGGAGTTGTACACGGTCTCGTGGATGCCGCAGGACTCCATGCCCAGGAAGGAAGGCTGGAACAGGGCCTCGGGGCAACGGAACCTCTCGTTACCGATGGTGATGACCTGACCGTCGGGAAGCTCGTAGGACTTCTCCAGGGAGGTGGAGGCGGCGGCGGTGGCCATCTCCTGCTCGAAGTCCAGGGCGACATAGCACAGCTTCTCCTTGATGTCACGGACGATTTCCCTCTCAGCGGTGGTGGTGAAGGAGTAACCCCTCTCGGTGAGGATCTTCATGAGGTAGTCGGTCAAGTCACGGCCGGCCAAGTCCAGACGGAGGATGGCGTGGGGCAGGGCGTAACCTTCATAGATGGGCACGGTGTGGGAGACACCGTCACCGGAGTCCAGCACGATACCGGTGGTACGACCGGACGCGTACAGGGAGAGCACGGCCTGGATGGCCACGTACATGGCGGGCGAGTTGAAGGTCTCGAACATGATCTGGGTCATCTTCTCCCTGTTGGCCTTGGGGTTGAGGGGAGCCTCGGTCAGCAGCACGGGGTGCTCCTCGGGGGCGACGCGCAGCTCGTTGTAGAAGGTGTGGTGCCAGATCTTCTCCATGTCGTCCCAGTTGGTGATGATGCCGTGCTCGATGGGGTACTTCAGGGTGAGGATACCTCTCTTGCTCTGGGCCTCGTCACCGACGTACGAGTCCTTCTGACCCATACCGACCATGACGCCCTGGTGCCGGGGGCGGCCCACGATGGACGGGAACACGGCGCGGGGAGCGTCGTCACCGGCGAACCCGGCCTTGCACATGCCGGAGCCATTGTCTACTACGAGCGCAGCAACATCGTCGTCGCACATTTTGAAGTTTGTGTGTTTTGTTTCGGGACGCGCTGGAAGTTGACTCTACGGCAGCGAGACTGCGAGTGCGGCGGTCAGCGGCGCCCGATGCTTATATACCGCTCCCGGGAGAGATCGCGCGCTCCATACAAGGCGCGCGCGAGTCGCCCGCCCGCCGACACGCGCCCGTCCACCCTGCTACTCCTGTACTACTACAACCCTCGTCCCCCACACACAGCTCATCATACACAGCCCTCATCATGATACTCTGTGCTCGTAGTACGGAGGCTTCTCTCCAGCCTCTCTCTGAAGCAGCGCGCGCCGCTCTTGTCCATTTCGGGAGTTAGCCATCGCACGGCGCCTCTGTGATTTATATATTTAATAATAGCTTAATAAATCTATGCTAAAATTCCTTACCTTATTAGAAGGAAATATTAAAAATAACAGAAATAGAAAAACGTTATAAATAAAAATATATAAACTTACATCTCAAAGATGATGAAACCTAAGTCGTAGTATAGGTACATATTTTATTTAACTGTTACAAACTAAACAATCTTATTATTAGTTATTTTTCAAGGTTATATAAAATTTTGTTAAATTTAACATTTAACCTAATTAATCCGTTTTTAAAGCGTATAAAACAGTTTGATTCTTTCGTAGTTGAAATTATTTTTTAATAAAGATATGTTTCACAAGAAAATTCGTTCAGTTTCAGTAACTATTTTAAAATTAATTAATTAATTTTACATTATTAATTTGAACGAAAATTTTTGACTTTAAAAGTTGTTTAAATAGACGGTTCTTATAAAATCCTATTAGAATTATTATAAAGTAAAAACTCGAACGGGTATCCTGACTTAGAATCTCTCCAACACGCAGACACACATATAACACTAGAGATATTTATAAAAACTAATTACTAAATACATTTCTCTGGTAAAACACCATTTAATTAATAGACCTTGTATTTTAATTTAAACTCAGTGAAAGTCTTTCTCATCTCGTATAACTATTCCAATACTTTTTTTCATTACATTACATATAAACTTGTACCTATATTATTATTATTATTTTTTATTCATTCTATAGTTTTTCTTTCGTCTTCTGTTATCATGTGTGTTCCTAATCAACGCAGGACACTTTAAAACTAATAATATTATAAGTATGAACTATTTTACATTTATACATAGATCGAAATATTTCTTGTCAATTTAATGTTTTGTACTATAGTCACTTGTTAGTTATTTACAGACGTGTCTTATAATGTAAGGAGATAATAAAACGAGAATCTCAATGAACCAGAACAATACTTGCTATACTAAATATAAGACACTATGAAACAGTTCAATATATATAAACTCCTATATTTAATTCATATTTACATGATTTTCTTTAAACTCATTTCTGTATATTGTCAAATGTTTCGTGTACAATTTTCAGTGTTTCTGTCAGTTGCTGGTGGTGGGACAGTCGATTATAAGATCAGCGATGTATTTGGTAATAATATTATTAGAGCTGAGTGTGTTTGAATGCATCAAAGTGCAACGGCCGGGATATTTGTGGAGACAGGTGGAGCAGACTCGAGACCGGAGGCTAGCTCACGACGCGTACAGACTTACTACAACAGAACACACGAACACATACTACTACTAGAACTTAAATTATTATAATATTGAGATACAGAAACTATTTTGTTGATCATTAAGAGCATGATACTAAAAGGTAATAAATGACGTATACACGATTAGAACGAGTGAAACATTGCTTTGAATGTCACATCAAATTAAAATAATAATTCATTACCTTAAAGTCGGATATTATAATCAAATATTGTTTCACGGATGTATTGTGTTAAAGATGTGTATTAAAATAAAGAAGTAAATAGTTGTGTACTCTGAAAGTTCTCCAGATCTTCCACTTTTAGGTAGTTTTCAGAAAATTTACATTAAGCTGCTAAAACTATTAATAATAAATTAGAAAGAGCATTTTCAAAACGATGTCGAATGTCATTTCATTAAAAGAGACATGATTATTTTATCCAAAACTGGTACTGCAAGTAAGAAACTTATATTTTCTTCTTCGCCATCGGAAAATAGAGATTTCAACGAACAGAAAACAGACCAAATTTTTTAAAAAAGCAGATTTTTCGATTGAAAATGAAGCAGAGTTTTTGATATTTATTCAAAATAAGCTGAAAAATAAATATTTCTAATCAAATAAATTACATGGATTTGGGACATCAAAAGATAACTTTTCACCAAATTTCGTGACAAAATATTATTTTTTGTAAGAGATAAAAATAAAAAACCAAATCCTTGGTTTTTTGAATTTTTCACATAAAATTGGAGGTTATGTGAAAAAACTGTTAGTACAAAATTTTTAAATCTTTTTATTACCTACAACTTTGCCATATAACTTTTTTCCGTAGGACTTTTAGTTTTGTCGGAAATCGAGAAAACCCATTTTTTACACCTCCACACCCTTCCCGACCTCAGATCGCCCGTAAATTATTTTTTCTTTAATTTTTATAATATTTCCCTCCTTTTCTAATGAGTTTTATTCCACTATAATTTATTTTCGCTTTTCATTAATTTTAAAGGCTTCTGCACTGGCCTATAAAGGAACTTTCTCTTGTACAATGTTTATACTGACTGAAAGAAGATATCGTTTATAGTAATAGTCAATATAACATCATTATTTGTTTTACTCTATTTAGTCTACTTAGTGTTTTGTACAATAACTGTCCTCCTTGATAAAATGTAATAGAACCCGTATCACTTCATATTTCATGTGTTTGAAGATCATGATTTTTCTTTATGTATTTTATATCATTCCATCCATATTTTATACCATTATCATCTTTTTTCCATACAACAACTCCTTATAAGAACAGTGAGCTACTAATTATTATATATAATATTAATGTTTAATTATTTAAATGATATATAAATGAATAATGTGAGTATGTAAAGAATAACGTGCCAATACACCTGTCGTACACGTTAGGTACCGACACAGAGAAAGAGAGGTCACAAAACAATGTTGAAATCTTAAATAAAAAGATATTTAATATAGTTAGTGAAACTAACACTGATACATACATTCATATATATTATAATACATCGGTCAGTTTGTATGTTTGTGTTCTCTCTTATAAGATATGTTCCTGAACACGAGCGAGCAATGCAACCAGATATAAATAGATAACAAGTTCAGTGCCGGCCGAGACACGACTACTACGGACACACACACACACACACACACACACACACATGTAGTGAAATAAAATATACATCAGAAAGAAATACTTATAATATTGTGACGTCATCATATATTAGATTCCAGCCTCCGAAGACATCACTAACAAAGACTATGAGAACGAAAGGTCGGAACACACGAGAGGATTAAATCTAATATTACCTTAGTTATGTTATATATTAAAACACATACATACATTACGACTTTGAAAAAGGTTTAATAAAATAGAGGAGTCTCTTCATAATAAGCTAACTATATATGACATATATATTCCGGGTCGACGTGTTTATTTATATATTTATTATTAGTCAAACATACAGCATATCGTATATTACAACTTAATATAATAATCATATCTTGACACTTATGCCAGTTAGGTTTCCACTACTGTTTATACGAGGAAGTGGACTAATTTTGATGTAACCTAAAATACAACTATTAATTAATTACTAATGAGTATTTTTTACAAGATTATAAAATCTACTTAAACTATTTTTAAACAGATCAATGTGGTTGTATTTTCTATTATGACTATTACAAATAGGTATTGAAAAAGTTTAATATGTTAGTGTGTCACAATAGATAGGTGTCACGAAGTCGAGCTGGTGAAGCTCCCAGCTCCATCTCCAGGGTGTGTGATGTATAATGAATGAGTTAACGAGTGCTCGTGTTGTATCGTTACGAGCGACTCTAATCTCATTGAACCGATCAATTGATACATCTCCGACATTATACCGTGTAATTGGTGCAAATCGACTTGAAAAGAATAATCCCCATACACACTTTTTAATGGACACCGACTGATGAAAACGAACGAAAATAAACTCTATCCCCTGTATATTAAGGTAGGTTTCAGTTTGTGTGTGTAATGTGGTGGTGTATAGGTGGAGGGTTCGTATACTATCAGTTCCATATCATATGAAACATGCCGACCAGCCCTCGTGGTCGTTGTGTTGTCCCACAGATATCAGATATAACAGATAACAGAAATACCACTATATTATGATGTCGAAGATTTTCACGTGTTTTTATTTACATGAAACTAGATTTCTCTGATACTACGAGAAGTATAATATAACTCGTAAGTTTCTATGTGTGTGTGTGTGTGTGTGTGTATGTGTATGTATTTTATATGATAATAATAAATCAATCAGTATGTAGTCGCACTAACTCCCTCCATACTACTGTATCATTGAAAGTGCGGAGATTTAGACAAAGAATAATAAGTATACAGAAGTCACAAATGAAAAGTTTATGGCCTACAAGCTCACTACAATAATTTGATTATTTAATGAAAAACAATATTTTTATACTACAATATTATTATTTTAATATATATGAATTTTCAACTAGACTTCATATCAATTTTATAAGATATCATATTAGTTTGTCTTCTTTGTGTATAAACTGAAATAATTAATAAAAATAAAATCACTATCACGGAGGAAAATGCATTTTTTTTTTATAACAGCATTGCCTTCATATTCTTATGTACTTTAGTTTATTACGAAAATGTTCACTTCATTCTGGTGAATTAAATCTATTTAAAACACATAAATATTTTAAAATTCCTCGAATTTTGAGCTAAAAATTTAATCCTTACGAACTCAACGACTATTATTTTTTGATGAGCAGTCTGTTATCTATATAGTAATATATATAAACAAGTCATATTAAATATATTATAATATATATTTCTGTATGTAAGTATAATACTCGTCGTGTGGTGAGCTCCCTCTGCGGATACATGATCTATGTCGTGTGAGCCGCTGGTGGTCGCGTGCCTTCTGTAATTTGACAATCGTTTACAAAACGAGACATTCAATAAATCAATTAAAACAGAGCGAGTTACTAATCACATCATATATTAACATTAATTACATACAAACTGAGAAATAACGTAGAGCTTGAATCCGTATTAAATTGATTATTAACAGCTTGTCTTTAGTATATACTTAGTCTCAAATTACAAAATACAGAGTAATATGTACTATACATAAGTAGTATTGGAGACGTGTCATGTATTGAAGAAGTAAACTGATATTAAATAACTTGAACCTATTATATCGTATTATACTTAACATAT